GAAAAGAACTGGTCAGACAGAATCCTGCCCACAGTCCTCTTCCTGCCCCCTCCTGTTTCTCCTCGTGTGCGTCCTCCTCTTCCCCTCTTCCCCTTCCTCCCCCTCTTCATCCTCTTCCCTGCTCTTTTCCCGCACCCCTGTCTCCTCGTCTTCCTGTTCTTGCCCGTCCCATCTTTCCGCTCTGCCCACCCCAGCTAGGGGAACAAACAATGACATAAACATAACAACTCGGAGATCCGCGCGGATTTCTCCGATCCCCGCTGGGGCCCCCTGGCGGCGCCTCCGGCGCCGCCCCTGGCGCGCTCCGCGCGCCAGGGAGAGGGCGTGTTCCAGCCGGACACGATCGCGAGGGAAAATCCGGTGCGCACCTCCGCGGTTTCATGTTTATGTCATTGCTCGTTTCCCTGCCAGCTCTCCCCGCCCGCCCCCCTCCCCCCCCGTCCTCCTGCAGGGGGTCTGCGAAGATCCCCCGAGGACCCCCCCGTGAAGTTCGCGCGGGGGCCCCCGGAGGCCCGGCATGTGGCACAGACGCGTTGGACGCGTGGATCCTCCATCGTCGAGTCGTGATCCTCTCTCAATCCCCCTCAACACTCCTCCTCTTCCTCCTCCTCCCTCTCCTCATCCTTTCATCCTACTCCTTACTTCCTTCTCACTTCCCCCCTCCTCCTCACCCCTCATCTTCCTCCTCATACCTCCTCCTATTTGCCTCCTCTCCTCCTCCTCCTCCTCATCCATCCTCCTCCTCCTCCTCTCGAAGCTCTGTGGGCCCCGTCCCCCCCCCCCGTCTCGGGTCCGCCGTCCTCGGTCCTCGAAAACCAGACCCCCGACGTCACAACGAGGAGCCTCCCGCCGCGATCTTTTTGCGCCGCGCGAGGGGGTCTCCTGGGAGCCTCGAGCCGAGGTGCTCCAGCCCGAGGATCCCTGATCTCCGAATCTCGGGGCCTCGTCCCTCGACTGCCCAGCCGGGGTATCCTCGATCCTCGGAGCTCGGTGCCCCCCAGTCTGGGGCCTTCATGGGGCAACGTTTGTGGGGACAGGCTCAGGGTTACGTCGGGCACGTCCCACTACAGGAGGAATATCCTAAGATAGTCAAAAAATAGTCTGGTGCCGACCTTTGACCGTGTTTGATAATTTTTGAGCATGTTTAGAATCTTTGTCATGTTTTGCCCAAGAGCGGCCTGTAGGAGGGCACGCCCGACCTGAGGATAGGCTCAGGGGGGCGCATCGACCGCCAACCGCACACTCATCGCCGATAGGGGGCGTGATAGCCCACCCCGCCCAGGCATGTGCGGTTTCGGTACCGGGCGCCTGTTCCATCGGCGATGTGTGGCCGATTCCATGTCGACGTATCCCTCCTCCTCCTCCTCCTCCTCCTCCTCCTCCTCCTCCTCCTCCTCATTCCTCTCCTCCTCCTCTTCCCTCCTCCTCCTCCTCCTCCTCGTCCTCCTCCTCCTCCCTCCTCCTCTTCCTCCCTCCTCCTCTTCCTCCTCCTCCTCCTCCTCCTCCTCCTCCTCCTCCTCCTCTTCCTCCCCCCCCCCCTGGAGCCGGCGGTCCCCGCGTGACTTTTGGGTCACGCCTCGGGCCTCTGGCGGCCGTTCGGGACGAGGCGGGCCCCCCGCGGGAACGCTGTCTGCGAGGCGCAGCCGCTGGAGAGCAGCCGGAGGCTGGAAGGCCGCGGAGAACCGGCGGCACTGTCCGACGACGTTGGGGCTGGTTCCCTCCGAAGTTTCCCTCAGGATAGCTGGAGTTGAACAGTTTTATCAGGTAAAGCGAATGATTAGAGGAATCGGGGGCGCGTTGTCCTCGACCTATTCTCAAACTTTAAATGGGTAAGATCCAGTGGTTACTTGGGTGAACTTCTGGGATAAATGACAACTCTAAGTGGGGCCACATGCGAACCCCAACGCTCGGGAGCTCCCGAGCGAAGGGGACCCGAAACGTTTTGCACACGGCACGTGCTGCGCTTCATCACGGGCGTACCAGGGCAGCTGAGAGCACTGGCGATGCCACGACCGCGCCGAGGAACCGGCCCCCCCCCTGGACCCCCCCAGTGCGGCCCAGGAGCCCCAAAGACGCCCAACACTGCCCCCACCCCACCCCTCCGCGGCCATTTTGGCTCAAGCCGCTGAGCATTTGCCCCCGAGCTTCGCGCCACGTGCCCCCTGCCGCGCGCCTGCTGGCCCATCGCCATGTGCGTGGACTCGCCCGTCACGCGGCTGCCGACGCCCCCCCACGGGCGCGCCCAGCCGAGCGGGCCCGACGGGTGGGCCCCCGCCCGCGGCACGGGAGCGACGGAGGCCGACCAGGGAGCGGGAGCGCACGACCTCGACGCGTGGTGGCCCATTGACGACCCCGACGACCCCGACGAGGGGGCCCTGACGAGGCGCTTTGGCGCGGCCTCGGGGCCCGGCGGCGCAGGGCCCGGGCAGAGCGAGCGGCCCCTGGCCGAGCCTGGCATCCTCCGGCGGCGCGGCGGCAGGCTGCTGGGGCTGGCGGCGGTGGTCGACGTCGCGTCCTCGGCGCCAGAGCCGCTCGGGTCCCCCACCAGCTTCGCGTTGCGATACCCCTCGAGTTCCGTGCTACCCCGCCGCGCGCCCGACATTCCCGAGGCCGCGCCCGCGGCGGCCGCGCGCGGCGCCGCCGGGCGCGGGGCCGCCCGGGCGCCGCCATCGCAGCAGCTGCCGGCGCTCGTCGCCCCCGCGGCGGCCGAGGAGGGCCTGGGCGCGTGCGCCGACAGGCGGGCGCTGCGCAGGGTGAGGAGCGGTGTTGACATGGGCGCCACGGGAGACGTTCGAGAGCACGTCTCGCGGCGAGGGTCTGGCCAGCCGAGGTGCGTCAGTTTCTCGACGTCGCCCCTGGACGGCGTCTACGACGTGACGCCATACGCCAGAAAGTACGGCGTCCACCCGAGTTTCTTCGACTTCGACCGAAAAGGTGAGATGAAGCTCACCGAGGAGGGCGTCCTGGAGGACCTGAGGCGTACGGGGGAGGGCCGCCAGCGTCTGAAGCTGAGCGGGGAGGCGATGCTGTGAGGAATCATTGCGCCGCTTGCGTCGACGACGACGACGACAACGACGGCGACGACGACGACGACGGCGCTTTCGGCGCAATTTGTGGAATTGCATCGATGTGCCACCTCCTCGCCCCTCGTGGTCGCTCGCATCTTCCCCAGGCCTCTGCTACAGAGGGGGCCCATGCCAAGAAACACCCTGCTTGCCTCCATCAGGGCTGGGTTGCTTGTGGAAGGTTTCTTGTGGTCGGGCCCCCACTGTGCATCACATTTTGTTGCTCGCGAGCGCGGCCAGTCGGGGTAAAACGCCGCTGGTGGGGCGGAGCCACGCCTGAAATGCTGCACAAGCCCAACTACATTGCTAGCTGCCAGAAACTCCAATACCGGATAATTCGTCACCCAGATTGTACGTCTCAGGTGTTTGTTCGCTTCGGTGTGCACCATAGACGCGTTAACGGTGTGTTAGCTATCGGCGATGTATGAGCTCGGCGTCAGAACAACCATCAGGAGGAACGGAAGGGAGCGGAGTTGAGGATGAGCATGTGTCCGCTCGAGTGTTTATCGAGATGGATGTCGTGCGCTTCGTTCATGTAGAGCTACGGGTTTGTCGTTTGAACTTTTCTTAGCGTCCAGGCACACCACAAGAGTGCATGTTCGTGCTGAGGGCCTGCCAGGAGGAGACTCTACTTTATCCGCAGACGTAAGTATTTTTATGAAAGAGCGCGATCTGTGGAAGCTGAGAAGGGGGGGTCGAAGCAAGGCGGTGTAGATCTGCTTGGAGGTAGTTCACACTAATCAGCATGTCCGCCAGCGCCGATCTGCGCATAGCAGGCAGCGTTGCAACCACTACACGGATGCAGTCCGACTGCCCGTGCACTTCCAACCCCTGCTCTCTCTCTCTCTCTCTCTCCTCTGCGCCTATCTCCTCTTTCCCACCTCCCCCGCTCCTCGAGCCCTCCTCCACCATAGCAGGCCTTGGCAGACCCTGAGGTCAGGGATTCTGCGACAGGCGCGGCGAAACCGCATTTGCATCGGAAGCGCGTTTTGACCTGAGCTCGACAGGCGGTCCTCTGCTCATGCAGCTTGCACTGCCTGGATTCCCTGATGCTCCTCGGCGTCTGTGCGGTGCTGCCCGCTGCCGTGCGGCCTGTGTGGGCGCGGTGCCCACCGCCGCGCCGAGGCGGTGCTGGCGCTGCCGGCACGGGGGGAGAGGGACGGGGGGAGGGCCAGAGCATAGACCTCCCAGGGGAGGGTGGCGGTGCATGCCTCACTACTGCGAGCCAATTCTGTTGTACACGGGCACCCTCCCTTGAAGGCACATTGGACACTCGTCCGCGGGTGTGATTTGTTTTTGCGACGTACTGCATGCCGTTGATAGTAACCAGAGTGGTCTCTGGTCCCCTGAGCCGCAGACGTGCACATAGCAAGCGTGAAAGATACACTCGGTGCAACGCGCGTGGGCAGGACAACGCACGCAGCTAAGTCCTGGCGGCCTCCCGTTGACCATACGTTGGACGCCGCGGCCGTTTAAGACACTTTCGGCCGCCAATGTTGCCCAGGTTGTGCTGAGGGCGCGAACTGGGGGGGGAACAAGGAATGCAGGAGACGGAGGAGAAGGCTCACGCAGAGGCCCGTGAGCTGGTCGAGGGCCCGCCTGCCTCGCCCGTCTGGCTTGATTTAGGGCGGATTTAGGTTGAGTCGGTTGAGTTTTTTTGTGTTTTGATGCCGACGACGATTGTAATGATGGTGGTTATCAAATCGTAGTGCTGATGGTGGTGGCGATGGTGATGGTGATGATGGTGGTGCTCATCACATCCACACATCCAGAATCACCATCATCACCATCACCATCATCACCATCACAACCGCCCTCACCATACCATCATCACCATCCCCATCATCATCATCATCAGCAGCATCATCATCATCACCATCATCATCATCATCACCATCCATACCATCAGCATCGCCATCACCATCACCATCGTCACCATTGTGGTCCGCAGGACTTGGCTCAAGGTAATGTCGTCGTCCGCTCCTGCGGTTTCCCCGTGCCCTCCTTCGGTTTCCCCGAGCCCTGCGGCCTCCCCGAGCCCTGCGGTCTCGTCCTCTCCTTTGGCTCCCCCGAACCCTGCATCTTCGAGAGCGCCCTCGGCGGCTTCTTCGACAACGGCCGCGGCGGTTTCTTCAAGAGCGGCATCCTCGAGCCGTGCGGCCTCGTCGAGAGCGGCCCCGTCGAGCCGCGCGGCCTCGGCGGCCTCGTCGAGGGCAGCTTCGCCAAACCGCGGCAGCTGCAACAGCTCGGACGCCGATGCTGACGTAGGGTCCGACGCCGACGGCGCCGACGGAGTTGCCGACGCAGCGGGCCCCGAAGAGGACAGCGGCTCCAACAGCGCCTCCGACAGCGGTTCCGAAGAGGACAGCGGCTCCAGCAGCGAGGCAGCCGCGGCTGCAAGAGCGAAGGCGAAGGCCGCCCCGATCAAAGTCGTCGAGAAGTTCCCGCCTTCGTTGCCCATGACCCTGGAGGAGCACGTCGCCAGCCACGATTACTCAAAGCACGTCTCCACTTGCGGCGCTTGCAAATTTTGGAAGAACATGGAGAAGTGGGGCGCCTCGATGTCTGCGACGAACCCAGTGACACTGAAGAGTGGAACTTGGATAGGCTGCGTAGGTGGTAGACTTGCAGTCTGCTTGTTCTGCTCGGCGTTCAAGGGCGCTCGCTGCTATTCCACCATCGGCCAGGGATCCGCGAGTTTCCAACGCAAGGAAAACCTCGCGCGCCATGCACAGTGCGAGGAGCGCCAGGCATCAGAAGCGGCGTGGAAAGAGCGGGTTCGAGCGGAAGGTGCGCACCAGGGTCTCCCCGTGTCTGCGTTCCCCACAACGGCTGCATCAGCCGCGGCAGCTGCGCCAGCCGTGGCGCCTGCGCCCGCCGTCGTCCGCGCCGCCGACCAGCGCCCTGGTTGCCGCGCAGCGGTCGCCACCCGTGCAATGTTGGATACGTCCAGTTCCTTCAGTAGTTTCGACGTGTGGCGGGATGCGTTCGTTGGGGGCGACCGCCAAGTTTTGCAGTCTAGTCGGCAGTGCCGAAGGCTGGTGACCACCATGGCTCAGCACGAGAAGATCATCACGCAGAGGGCCCTCAAACATGGTGTTGTTTTTCGTTTGGCTGCGGACGGCCTCGACCGCACGTGCCAGGTCGAAATTGGCACCGCGCTGTGGTCGATCCCGAAGGCTTTGGACTTCCTCCCAAGCTACGGTCTCAGGGCAGGCTGGCTGGAACAATTGGGCCCCAGAGGGCCCTGAATCGTGGATCGGGTGATCGGGATGCGGGAGTTCCCGCGGGGCATGGACTGCGACGGCAAGGCTTCCATGCTGGAGGAGTGCGTCCGTCGCGCGTGCCAGACGGCAGGCGGGGAGCTGGACGGGGAAATGCACAAGCATGTGCGACAGGAGACTCGGGCATGGTGCAGCGATGGGGCGGATCTAAGTGCACCCCTGGCTGCAACAGCTACGTTCCCTGGGCTGGCGTTTCACGCGTGGGACGAGTCTCACTCGTCCCAGAAGGTTCTAGCCAATTCGATGAAAGGAGACAGCGAAATAACGACCACGGACGAGCTGCTGGCAACGGGTAAGAAGCCGCCAAGTCTGGCCAAGTTCCTGACTGCCTCCACCGTGTTCCGCAACACACACGGGGAGCAGCAGCTGGTGGAAGACGGCGCCGCGTTCGCCAAAAACTTCGGCTGGGCCCCCCAGCGTTTCAACAGTCGGGCGAGGCCCTTAGCACGGGAAAGTCGGCGTTGGGAAGTCATTTTCGAGGCGCTCGGAGCGGGGTCCCAGGGGAAGGGCAAAGATCTGCGCATTCTCGCCCGACAGATTCTGGAAGGGCTCGGGGGCGAGAGCAGTTCGCGCCTGCTCCTGGGGGGGTTGCTGGCCGACTTGAGCGCGGAGCACTACTCCTGGGTCGCCACCGGAGACAAGAGCAACCCCGGCGCTGCCAGCGTTCAATCCAGGGCCGCCGCTTTCCTCTCCAGCTGAATATTCTGGCCATCCCCAACGCGTTGACTGGCGTCACCCTCAGGTTTCTGAAGGCCACGAAGCGGTTCGCGTGCGGCACTGGCGCCCGGACCGCTGGTATCGGCGGTTGGGGAACGGGGCCCCGAGCCCGCGAAGCCGCCCGCGCGGCTCTTCGACGAGTGCATCGTGGCCAATGTGAAGGAGAACATGAAGCTGTATCGGCCAGAGCATTCTTGGTTGCACGCCTTTACAGCCTTTCGCTTGCCCCCCCCCCCTGCCCCTGTCTGCAACAGAGCATGCAACAGAAGCCGAGTCCTGTTTGAAGCGCATCTGCCAGGCGGCAGACCTCCCCGAGCAGGAGGCAATCTCCCAGCTGCGGCAAATGTTGCTGCGTGCCGAGGTGCATCGTCGAGACGGGGGCACCACGCGGCAGGCTTGGGGCCGCGCTGCGGTGGAGTGGCCCGAGCTCCCCAGCGGCCGTCGCCTCGTGGAGCTCTTCCTTGTATGGAAAACGAGCACGGGCAACGTGGAGAGGCGATTCCGCTGTTTCTCGGAGGTGCATTGCCCCGAGAGGGCGCGGCTCCTCGACGCGTCCGTCGAGGAGTGCACGCTCGTGGACCAGGCGCCCTCCAGCAGGTTGCTGCGCGCGTGGCTGGGCGACGACGAGAGCTCTGCCGCCAGTCGTTGGCACAGGCATGTGCTCAAGCTACACGAGGTCGCGCAGGGGAAGATCGTGCCGCTGAGGAGGGCCGAGAGGCGCGACAAGGGAAGCACGCGGGAGCCTGGGGCAGCACGCCGGACAGAGGTAGGCTTCGGGCGCAGGCGAGCAGCTGCCGTCGACGCCATGGCGGCCGCTTCCCCGAGCAAGCGCGCCCGCCTTCTCGCGGAGGGCGCCCCCGATCTCGCTGCGCTGGCTCGGAGGCGGCCCAGGCGAGCGGCGCAGATCCAGTCGGGCCCGCTGCAAAAGTCGTCGCCGCCGTCGCCAAGCGGGAGGCCAAGATCCGAGAGCGCAATCTTGGAGTGGCGAAGGCCGCCGCCAAGGCCAGGAGCACGCGAGAGAAGAAAGTCCTGCGCAGTGCCGGGCCAGCTGCGGGCCGCGACGCTTACTTGCTGCCCCCCCCGCGCCCCGCTGGGCTCATGCTGGCTCGCATGATAGATGTGGGCGCTGGCAACAAGGCGCAGCGCTTGCGTTTCAAGGTGTTTCAGGACCCGGTGGACTTCCTGGACTATCTTGCCCGTCATGCGGCCAAGGGGAAGAAGGGGGACGTAGTCTTGGCGGCAACAGCTGACACCGACTATTGCGTCGCCGCCCAGATTGTAGCAGCGTTCACGGGAGTTTTTCACAACGCCGACTGACTTTGCACGGGAGGATTCTCCCAAAGGCATCCAGTACACGGAGAAGCTTCGGAACTCGAGCAAGAGCTACCACGTGGCTGTAACAGAGGCTCTCGCGGAAGACCTGCCTACACTGCCCCACGTTTTGCGAGCGCTTGCCCAGACGCCGAGTGGGTGTGTGATCTATTACAAGAGCCCCAGGAAGCTCTGCAAGTTCTTCAAGAGGCAGGCCAATCCCCGCCTGGCGCAGCGAACTTGCGTGCTGTGCCGCTCGGGAGAAGAAGCGGGCGTCGACAGAGCCGTCAAACAGCTCTACAACAGCCCGAGGAACTGGGTTCTGCGTTTCGACGCGACGGTTGAAGCACTGTGCCCGGGCACCAAGGCACCGTAGCCCGCCATAGATTGCGATCATGCCAGTTTTGTTGAAAAAGAGCGCCGCCCAACGTCGTCCGACCTTACCTCCCCTGCGCCCCTCAGTGGGCGCCGCTGCCGCGGGCGGCGCTGCCCGCCGCTGGGGGCCTGAAGGTCGCCGAGGGGGGGGGGGGGGGGCTGCGGTTGCCCGTGGCGGCGGTTGTCGGCGGCGAGGGTGGGAGGGTGGGGGTGGGAAGCATCGGGCGCCCAGGGCCGCCCTCAGGAGGAGGGGGACGAGGGGGGTGATGGGGCTGAAGGAGGAGGGGAGAGCAGGACGAGGCAGGAGTAGCGACGAGGCCGTCTTCCACCGCACTTGTCCAGCCCAGCCCCCAGTCCACCTACGTGTTCGCGTGCATGCGAGCGATCTCCATCGAAACCTCCAGAGCGATGACCCCCCCCCTTTTGCCGCAGCTGAGACAGTTCAACCTTCCCATCCCCATCGAAACCTCTGCA